GTATTGGGAATGGATCTCATTGCTTAAAAGCAAGCACAGGAATCTGGTTAAGACCACACATTTGGCACAGTCATGTGTTCACCTCTCTTACCTGTTGCTTTTAGAGCCTAGTTATAACTACCCCTCTACACCATTATATGTCCAATTGTTCTTTGTATACATGTCCAAATTCTTCTGTTAGCCTTAACTTTCCTAGAGAGAGCATTTATACCAAGGCAGGGTGAAGATTTGGCTTCCTGAACAACTACAACGCCCTTGGAGAGACTCTCCTTCCACGATGCTGTTCCAACAGTTGCTGGAGGAGCTAAAAAAATAATAAAAAAATAAATGAACTCTTGATAGCTATAATTTTAAAAATAATAGCAGTCACAGCTGGCACAGATGAAATGACATTGAGCCAAGGTGTACAAACTGTGCACTACGTGCAGCAGTGGCACAAGGACTCAGAACAATTATGGACTTCGCAAAGCCATGCAGATTCAGAATTATAAATGATTTAGAAAAGCTGTTGTTGTGCTAGATCAAATTTGTAATCTTACAGTGTCAACTTCATTTAAAATGTGATTGAAATACACATTTCACATTTATCAAACTCCAAATTTACACATCACTAGTTGGTAACTTCCCAGGTAAGGAATGAAGAACAGACAGGGAACCACCCCCAGGAGTCTGTCACCTAGCCTCTAGCTTTCCAGAATGACAAGGGGCAGTTCTGTGTAGCTCTTTATTCTGCGTAACTTTTATTCCATGGAATCAGACCCATTCCCCATGGGAAAACATATAAAGACATTTATTATGTCATGGTAATATTACCTGTGATATCCTTTCTCTTTAGCAACATATTGATAATACTTTTGCAAAACAATTCTTGTCTGGCACTGAACTGTTACAAGACACCCTAATGGCAGGAAAAATCTTGACACTTTTCACGGTACTTCATGGCTTAGTGGGAGTACAGTAATAATTTGTTTATGTTGTCTCTGTACGGCTTGTATATCTTGCTCAGCCTGGGGATGAGGATGAGCCTGCCAACAAGTCATTAATCAAAAATCTACAGTCCTCACGCACTCTGATGCTTCATAAAATTCAGCATAAAACAGAAACAGGGAAGTGTAGTGATATGAGTCAGAAGCTTCCTGTCCTAAGGGAGCAGGGAACAAAGAACAGCACCTAAGGAGCCTGGCCCCCTGTGGTTCCTGCAAGCTGCAGGCCAGGTAGCAGATTCCTGGAGGTGGCGCTCTGTCTGTGCTTTGTTCCTTTACCTGGGAAGTTACCAACTAGTGATGTGTAAATTTAGAGTTTGATAAATGCAGAAAGGGGAAGTGAACAACAGCTTGCTCATACCGAATTAGTTATGCACATTCCTTAGCCTGTTTGTAGCCCTCAGTAAATGTGAGAAGTTTTGGTTGTGGGGGCTTGCTTAGAGATTAAGCTCAGTGAGACCTCTAAAGCTATATTAATCCAGCCTTCCCATCATTTATTTCAGCTCTGATTGATACTATGTAACACTTTCCTCCTTTAACCTTGGGTGTCAGGTATTTTGTCTCAGCAATGAGAGGAAAGTTGCCATGAGAGTTCAATTTCTGTTCTTTCTTTTTTTTGAGCATATTCTATTTATTTATTTATTTATTTATTTATTATAATTTGATTGAGAAACAAATAGCAACGAGACAATTTCAAAACCGATTAGTAGGACAGTTTCA